ATTTCTGAAAAATAGCAATGGTGGTTAGGGGGTCGTCTACTGCAACTTACCTGATGTCCAACTTACCGTGCCGCGCACACCTTTAATTTACATGCGGAACAACTTATTCCCAGCAGCCGGGAAAAAAAATTTCGACTACTTTTTTCCACTAAACACTTCCTTCTAAAAATTTCCTTATCTGCCTATCCTATTTCCCCACCCCACAAAACTCTATAACCACCGTTTTTGCCAGGACAAAATGTTGGGACTAGGGATATATGAGTGGGCCTACATAAGCTACTTTTGCCAAAATTTGAAGAAGAAGAAGAAGAAGAAACGTGTGACGTCGGACGCCTGAAGCTCACACGATCGTTGTCGTCGTTTGTCGGGATGACCCGCTACTAATTTAACAATGTAAAAGACAACCTGAAGTACTTATTTCCTTGTATCAGATAAGCGTTACAGCCCTTAGAATAGCGGACGTGCGCAGACCTGCCGTTTTTCATGAAGTGCTGCACGCAGCCAGACATTGCAGTATCTTTACTTGTCAGAGCAAGCATATAAAATGATATAAAACAAAAAAAATCCAGAAGCAGAATTTGGTACTGTTGGTACTGAGCAATTAGGTCTTTTAAAGTGTCTTTTCACCTGCAAAAATTTGTCTTGACGTCAACTTGCGGCCGTCAACCGATTACGCTTAACCATCTGTGTGTGATCGTGCTAATTTTGTTATTCACGATCGAAAATATTGGTTCTTCCGAAATGTTAGCCTCGAGGCATCCTCCACTCGGCATATCCAATTAGCCGTCAATGACATGCTACGCGCAAACACACAATTAAAAGGTCAGTTGAATTGGTTTTGACATATGAAACATGGTCCGATCTTAAGGGTCTGTGCTTTTTCACGGCCTGTCTTTTCCTACTTCACTTAGATGGATCCCGGACTGCGCGAAAGCTTTCATTGAACGACGCGCTACTTGGTGTCATCTGCTTCCGGAGACAGCTGGGGGCAGTACGGCCAAAGTGCACAAGTTCTTCGCCAGCATAGAGGCCCTGATGTCCTTACAGTTGAGGAGCATAGTGGAGGCATCAATTTACGAACTAACAGAGTTTCTTGAGGAGTACAAGGTATGGCTCACTTGTCCATATCTACTCTTACTGCCTGCATCCAGAAGTTTATTTTGCGATTTAAAATGTTCCGTTTACTGCTCTTGCGTGTAACTTAAAATTCGTGCACTTATTCTAGTACTGCTGATACTCTAAATCCTATTGTTTGCATAGCGATCAGGTTTAAATTGATCCTGTCTTTCAGAGGATTTCAAGCCATTGCCACTCGGTAATTTATAGCTATCATAAAACAACGTATTTTTTAAAATTTTACATCCGTATATTCTGTCTAGATTACTTGGTAGAGGCCAGTTTTAATTGCGTTTGACTACTTAGCTAATTGAGCTTATTATATTTGTTGTTGCAGAAAGCAAGTATGCGTTGTCCGGCGATTATTTTTTGTGGAAAACTCACTTACATTGTTATACTTATATTTTTTCTTAGTCGCCAAACGGGTTTCCATCAAACTACGACGAGATGCTCTTTTTGAAACGGCCAGTTCTTCTGATTAAACTTCGTATCGCGGAGCCTAAAATTGTCTACGTTCCAAGTCTGCGGGAAATTCGAGAGAGTCTTCTTCGTTGTTTTCAAACTATCACGAACGCCGCCACTAACCTTCCTAGGGTATGTTTATTTTTAATTGAAATCATCCTCATTAAAATAATTCCGGCCTTAGTGTAGTTGATAGTGATGTTGGTGGCAGTTGCCTTTACACTGACTCCATTCTTAGGGCGTGAAGCGATGCAGGAAGAGTAACTATGGGCTGATTAATTTTTAAGATTGTTAGATTAATAAGGCTCATTTTCAGTTATTAATGTGGTACGTGCCTCCAAGTTGTCATGGGATTTTTTTCTGTGGTTCAGTATTAGTATCAGTTTATTGAGGAAATATCGGTGAGTGCTTTTGCGCTCTCTATTGGCAAAAAGGTGAATCAAAGTGCATGGATAGAAAAGAGAAATGAAAAAATACTTCAGTTACATGCTTGCAAGCAAAGAGCGAAAAGCCGATGGAGACTAAATTGTTATGAAATATGACTACTGGCTTAGCACGAGTAGTGTAATAAGTATACGTAATGCAGTAGTCGCCGGCTATTAAGTCCACGGTTAATAAGCCCGCCGCTTATTAAGCCCAATTTGGTCTGGGCCCGAGGTAGACTTAATAGCCGGCGACTGCTGTACTTTGCTTCGTGAGTCACATTTGCACTGATGAAAAGTGGAATGTTTTCTGAAAATCAAACCAGGCATTACTTTTTTGTTGTTTAGGTGGAAGTGGAGCTCTTTCCGGAAATGATGAACCAACCCATCTACATCCACAGCGTTCTGTTCCAGGAGTCCCTCGTGACTAAGTCTACAGAACGCTCTCTCCATGTGTTTCGTCTCAATTCCAGTGGACCACGCCAATATCTGGATTTGTACAGAGCCTATGGAAATTTGCTGAACAACAAGGCCGAAATGGAACTTCGGAATTTCATAAAGGAACGCCACATTCTGCTTCAGACCAAGAAGGTATGGCTGACAGTCGTGGATGTATATAAATAAATTTTATACTTTTATATTTTAAGCCCGGAGGGCCTCGTCACTGCAAACTTAGTGCTGTGGAAAAATAAATACAAAGTTGATAAATGCTGCTCTTCGTGAGCAACCCTATAGGCAACGGGAGTGTTAAGTATGGTAGGTAGATAAATTCATATTCGCCAACATATCGTCGTTTTAAAATAACAGTCAACACTCTCTGAAACGCATGGTGAACTAGAGAGGAAGCAGTGAAAAAAACTCCTACCATTAAAGCGGGGGCAGAGTTCAGCG